CCAATTCGTTGCACAATGTTTAACTGAAGCGTTTTTTTAAACGATACTCGTCACATAAAGGGAAGAAGAGGCAGTCCTGCTATTATGTTAAGCTACTCAAAAATAAACCCTTCCACACATCCGAAGAGAAAACGCAAGACGAAACATCAAATTGCTTTAATTGCACACAAAGTCGGCCTTCAACGTACTCTTCCACCAGTGTTGCTTTAACAACAACGTAGGCATCAACGTTGGAGTTTCATCAAATTTACTAATAGAACGAGTTCGGCAAGAGCTGCGGCGACTCGTTGCAGTTCGTCGTGTTAGCCGGCCAGAAGCAGGGGATGACTAATGAATGGCTTTTGTATACGGTGCGAGGTAGTATTGGGGTGGGGATTGATCGAAAGGTGGCGTTGGTTGGATGGTGGTCGGCTCTGACTTCGTTTACATATAGGCAGGCAGAGTGAAGTCTCGATAAACACAAAATTATACGGCGATCGAGCGCCGCACTATTTGCATACCGGCAGGGCGAATTCGCAAGACAAATTATGCAATCGCGCGAGTTTCAAGTCGCGAAGTGTCGCATGCTATAGGCGAGTCGCTGTCGCGTAGATTGTCGGTGATTGCGATAAAAATGAAAGAAAAAAGAGCAGGCTGACGCGTGCGAGAGAAGGCGCGAGATCACTTGAGGAGCAGGACGAAGGATTAGGAGAGGCGTCTTGGTGAGATTGCGATTAGAGCGATGTCGAAATTACTACTTAGTACCGCACGATGATTGCGGTGCGCCAAATTCGTGCAGTGCGAAACATTGATGATAAGGATCGAAATACGCCCTAATTTAGCAGTCGAGTTGAGTGCCGAAGCGGCGTTACCGTTGACGATGGGGATCAAAGCCCATCCAGGGTGGTCCTCGGCCTACCGTCGACGATGGCAAAAGTTTGTGGAGAACGGGCAGTGCGACTAGGTTCCCCAATCAAATCAATAGTCAAATGCGGGCTAATGGACGGCAAGTGTAGGCCAGAACTGGTTGCCAATTTGCATGCACATTTCTTCTAAATTAATCAATTTCGGCGCTGCCTCACCTTCGGTCACGCCATATCAAACATCGTCACAAAACAGATATGCATACGACTGATGTGGGTGGCGATGACACGGTTCGTACCTCCAGCCCTCATCCTGGGAGGTGAGGATCAGCAGCCACCACACAGTCAACCCATAATGATTGTTATTTTGCTGAAACAAGGCGCGTATGAGTTTGACACTCTGTTTTCTTACAGAAACACGTGTAACTGATAAATGTGTGAGAGTGAGAGTGTGAGGATCAGCCGTTGTTCGACGACACGACAAGGAGCGTCACCATCAAAGCTCACTAATGGAGGTGTCCAGCCACTGAAGTCAAGTTACTGACAGAGTTGTGGTAGTTGTGGTGCAGTAATCCAACCTTTTTTTTCGGAGCGCAAAGCAATTTACAATAAATATGCAAGCGTGAATTGTGGTGACCTTGCGCGGCTGCGCGTCCTTTTCAGTTCATCTTTTACAATGGCATATGCGTAGTCGCGCAACATCCAATTAGAGGCAATGTGTGAAATGTTTCCAAACTGCATGGATTTAGGTAAACAAGTATGGAGACACTATAATTTGGCTTTTTATGAACGTCTAATTTGGTGCTATAGGACTTTTTAAAGCCCTCAATTCTCGAAATGAAAACTTTCCAACTCACAGATGTAAAGTATCTCTTATTTATATCAAAATGACTAGTGAGGCCGTCCCAATCTCTATAAAATAGATATTATCCAGAAGAAGAGCAGGAGAAGATATGAAGCATGTGGCCATTAGTGTGTTGCAGAGTTGAGAATTTGACAATCCGTTTAGAAAATTCAACCAAATTATTAATCTCATTAACCATTAACTAATAGTAAATTATGTTAGAATCAGATTGTACTAGACTAATAGCAAACCTCTTGTCAATTTATTATAAAGAAGGTTATATCGTTATTATAAGTACTAAAAATAATTCGCC